TCACAAAAGCTTCACAGAAGCTTTACAGAAGCTTCACATAAACTTCAAAGCTTCTGTGAAGCTTCTGTAAAGCTTCTGTAAAGCTTCTGTAAAGCTTCTGTAAAGCTTCTGTAAAGCTTCTGTGAAGCTTCTGTGAAGCTTCTGTGAACCTCCGAGCCTAAGGAGCTGTCTCCGAGCCTAGGGAGTATAAGATTGAATAATTGAATCAGAAGATTGAATCATTGAATCATAAGAGTGAATCATTGAATCATAAGAGTGAATCATTGAATCATAAGAGTGAATCATTGAATCCTAAAGCCATTCGATGATGATAAGGAAGATAAAGATAACGATAAGGAAGATAAAGATAAGGATAAGGAAGATAAGAAGATAAAGATAAGAAGATAAAGATAAGAAGATAAAGATAAGAAGATAAAGATAAGGATAAGGAAGATAAAAAGATAAAAAGATAAAGATAAGGAAGATAAAGATAAGGATAAAGAAGATTAAAAGATAAAGAGAAGGAAGATAAAGATAACGAAGATAAAAAGATAATGATAAGGAAGATAAAGATAAGGAAGATAAAAAGACAAAGATAAGGAAGATAAAAAGACAAAGATAAGGAAGATAAAGATGAGGAAGATAAGGTTCAATTTAGGATCGATGTGGGGTCGATGTAGGGTTGATGTGGGGTCGATGTAGGGTCGATGTAGGTCGATGTGGGGTCGATGTGTGGTCGATGTAGGGTCGATGTAGGGTTGATGTAGGGCTATGAGCATAGAAACCATGGCGAATGAACAATTAAGCCAAACGACTCTTATTACAAAAAAACATTTAAATTGTTGTGCGTAATTTAAATAAAATCAAACACATTATGCTCTAAGAAGTAGACCACATTAACTTTGTAAACCTCTCCAAGAAATAAATGTATTTTAAGATTGAATTCTTGTGTAAACGTTTGGCTGCAAAGCGCTTTCTCTCTTCCAATATAAACCTCATTATTGTTGTGTTTCCAACCCGCACGGATAACCCGGGACGCCCGCGCAATGAATATCCTAATCTACCCGTATTTATCCACACAGTAGAAAATGCAAATCTCTGATAAAAAGTTAATCCTTTAATTAGTTTCACCCTAACAACACATAGCAACCGGTGTGCTTTAATATAGCTTAAATTTATTAACCTTATCCGAGCTTTAGTACTTTAAAAAACTAGCGCTAAAATATAGAAATCGCTTGACAATTATATATCATGACATCTAACTTCCATGTGTTTATATAACTCTCGACAGCAACATATTCTCTCCCAGACCCCATATGGCAGAACGGGATTTAAATATTAGTTTAATTGATTGAAATTTTGCTTGTAATCCATGAATGACTGTTAATGACTTTGGCGTTATACGTTTTAGAGAGCCGCAAACGACAAAACTTCGATATAGCTTGCATATCATCTGTAATAACTCTCTGTGTGTTAGTATTTTTTTCCTATCTCAAGCTCGCTGGGTGAAATAAAGAAATTATATATATCCACACGGGGTGGGCGAGTTAATCACTTTTTAGTGACTCTGTAATATGCAAATATCGACCATAACAACGGCGTTGACACCGATTTTAACTTGGGCTTAGCAACTGCTTAGTTCTGTCTAAAAATTTTCATATGTATGTCTAGATTTTTATTGTTCCTTGTTTTTAACAGTTCTAAACATGGTGAATACATCCCCAGGTAAGACCATGGATGGTGTTAAAGTAGTGGACACTCTAAGATAATCTAAAAAACCTTGTAATAAGATGAATTCAAGTACACCTTTTATACTCTATTTCTATTTTCTTTATGATTTTGGGGAATTTTGAATAAACTGGGATATTCTCTGCAGAATTCCCCCCGGAATCTTAGCAAACTCCTTTAAGTCAGAAAGTTTCGTAATACACAAATCTCACCGCGCATGCGTACAATATCTACGTCCCACAAGCATTACAACAACGTTCGTAGAATATATATCGAGAACATGTTAAACTCCACTCAGTTTGTTAGAAGGAATATATGTGGGGATAAATATTAGCAAAGTATTAAACCGTAAAATTTTCTTAAAATGCTAGTAATCATTGGTCCACACTCTTTAAATACATTACAAGCGGGTATAATCAGTACAATATGATATCCTAATGACGTCATGGGTGGTGCTTAGTGCACCACCCGGTCCAGAACCCCTCTTCCCTATACTACTATCATGTAAAATATGGTTCACCTGTTAAAAAAAATACAATGTTTATTAGTTGTTTTGTAACAGAGTAGTACCTGCTTTAATTAAAGAAAATATAGGAAAGAGAAAATAGAAATAACAGTTGTACTGTATATTGAAAACAGAATAAAATCTTTCTAAGCATTTCTACTGTTATCGTAATTTTATTAACTGATGAGATAATATGAAGTCTTTCTGTATGTTAAAAACTGTGATTTCTGAAGAAGTCTTTCTGCATGTGTGAAATTAAGTATTTCTGTATGTGTGAAACTGTGTTAGAAAATGTGCTTTCCGAGACTCGTGTGAAAATAAATCGAATAAATTCAGTATAAATGTATAGTACATGCCTTGATATACAGAACAATCAGTCAATATCATTTCATATTCCAGCCAACACTATCAGTGCTTTATATTCAGTCGCATTTGAAGCCGAACCTGAGGCCGAACAGGATCTGATATAAACGAGGGTTGCCAAAGCGAACAAAACAATGTCACAATTAATATGAGCGCCATACTCCGTCAAATTGATACAATATGATGATGAATGTTGAATAGTTTTGTGTACATGTGTGTTCACAGCTTATATCTGAAATATTTTTCGTAACATTTGTTAAAACTTTGAGACGAAATATATAAACAATCAACAAAACATTCATATTTTTAAGCAAGAAGATCGTAAGCGCCAGCGCTAATTGTAGTCAACAACATAATGTTGTCGTTACTGCGCATGTGATAAATCTCCAAGAATCTTGGCAATTTCATCGTATTTTACCAGGATCTTCTTCAGCTCGCGCGCCGCCACGAGGAAGACCCTGGGGAGGAGGTTGTCAATCTTTCTGTTTTCGTCGGATCTTTCATTTCTGCCGTGCCCAAGTGTGTCGTCACGTTTTTCAAAATGGATGAGGCAATGACGTGAGCAAGTTTCCTATCCGATGTTTTTATAATCGGTGATTTATATAGATGCACTGCCCTTAAAAGTTTGGTTAATTAAGACATGCTCACCTGTCTAGCATGCTTTTCAGCTTTATTGTAAAAGTTTGTCTCCACCAATCCAAAAGCGTACATTCCATGTAAAAACCTGAGAAAATAAATATATAAAGTGTATCTTTGGGCGCTCTTCATTTAATGGCCTGACCGGTCAGACCATCTTGGATGCGTTTACTTTCGTATACTATGCATGCGCTGTAACGACAATCTGTAAGCAGATAACTTTTCGTTCGCAGCCCATGGAAAGATTTTGGCACGCGAGGAAGAAGTTATCAAACATGTTAGATATTTGCCGTTAGTGGTACGAATGACAAAAGTCGTTTGTAAATCGCCCGCACACGAGAACTATGTCCTTACGCCATTGGGCACGTGTGACATTTGGCTAACCACATAGCTCTAGTGTGCACCGGCCTTAAAGGACTGAACCAATTATTGTGCCCAACAAGAAAATAAGTTTAGGCGCTGTCCACACCAGTGATTTAGACAGATCCGAGACCCATTTGACAATCAAGTTCGATCTACACTAGACCACCTCGTTAGGTGCCCTCGGATCGGTCCACATTTCAAAAAGGAAGCAAAATTCTTGCCTAGTAGCCCGGCATTTTTACCATCTATTAAACGGTGGACACTTGCGGATACTCGACAAGAAGTTTAAGGATCCGCAATAAGATCAACCTCAAAGTGTGTTAAATGTAAACGGCCTATAATACGTAATTAGTATTTTTGCACAAGTGAACATAACAAATCCTACAAGTTGATTGGTCAAATTTGACGTTTTAAGCTGTTATATTCACCTACAGGTGAATATAACAAACCCGAAATTTTCAAAATGGCGCCTACCCATTTTGTGTAAGTTATACTGATAAAGAAATAAGCAAAATTAATATATATTCAGTCCCAAAAAAACCCACAAAAATACTAAAACAATTAATCGCCCCAGACTCGGTGATTATCGGGGAATATTCATCTCGACTTCGTCTCGGCGAATATTCCCCGATAATCACCTCGCCTTCAGCGAATAATTGTTAATTATTATTACGACGAATGCTAAAACCTCATGTTGTCCTCTCCGGGATACATATGTTATGTACTATATGTTAAGGGATGCTTTCAATGATTTCGTTATTCAATTTATATTCATACACATAATGAATAAAAGCATATCAACAAATATTTTACTTGTTGACAATCGACAGCAAGTGTAGTCGATGTGGAAAAGACCCATTTTCATTGAGTATACCCTATTAAGAGATATGCATAATTTATACAGTGACGAACTGCAATTCCCTACCCATATAGAGGCACCGTATCGTTCCAATGTGGAAGCACCCTTGCAATGGAATCCCGCATTTGGTCTTGGTATCCGAGGTAAAAATACGAGTCATGTGCAAACTTCAACGCAGTAACGTCAGTAGGATGCAGTGTAAGAATTTCTTCCCATGTATCCAAAGCTTTTACAACAAATCTGGGGGAAAACGAAATTGATTTAGATGTGCCTATATATAAGTTGTTTTATTGACTGACAGTTTTCTGGGAACTTAGAAATTTTCTATATTGTAATTAAGGGATAGCTAAAACACCTTCACAGGCATTTGAGACATTGGGAGTTGTGCAACATTCTGTTTGTAGGCCCAGGAAAATTCGAAATTGAGTAGACCTGATGCATAATGATGCAAAAATGCTTGATGTCCGCGAAGAATGCTGGTCTTAGTAGTCATCGTCCGGGTATATTAAACAATTCAAAATGGCCATTATGGAAATTTTCCTGGGCGATGACTACTAAGACCAGTATTCATCGCGGGCATCAAGCCTTGTGACGTCGTTATGCATAAGGTCTATTCAATGAACCAATATCTCCAAAATCATAACGAAAGTTTTAGTCCAGATCGACCTTTTTAGTCCATATCGATTTGTGGCCTGAAATCGTATATCATATCATATATAAACCAGCCATACATTTTTCCGTACATAGCCCCTTAGAACGTATCTTCTGTGTAATAGTCTTGCTGGGATCGCTATATTCAAAACACTATTTAGAGTGTTATTTTCAAACTAGATCTTCAGATTTGCATCTTTATTTTCGGTATTTTATTTGCGACGTGTTTATAGCGTGCGTCTAAACCGGAAATACAGGTTTGCTTTAGTAGAAGGTGATTGATGACGGATCAAATTTAATATCAGATCCGTGATTGAACCATATCAGATCCAAAATTAGAGTTCATACAAAAACTGTTCATATACACAATAATTTACGGCAAAAACGGAAAATAACTTCATTCCCGCAACAAAAGTCTGCATATGATAACAACGACGCAAGCGGTGCGACGCAAGCCTTTGATGAAAATATTCCTTTCATTGAAATTGGATAAAACCAATAATAAAACTGTTCATTCGATAGTTGGGCAATGAACGATATTACAAAGTGTCCAGATCATGAGCTTTTACTGTAATTGTTCACCCACAATACAGTGTTATTATTACTTGATATGAAAATGACGATATCTACTTAATTTGTACGAAACCAAACAAAAGCGGTCCAAATTCTGAAATAAAACACTTTATACCCTTGCGACCAGGCCTGAATAGCAGCTGCGTGTTTTCTCTCTCGATCAGTTATAGATGAATCTTTTTCAACCATTTTAACCATATTTTCTATAGATTGCTCGAGGTTCTTATCTTTCCAAATGTTTGTCCCAGTCCCAATAAGTTCCAGACCATTTGACAACACATGTCCCATCACTATAGCAAAAACCCAGGATCAGCAATTTGTGTTAAGGTGGCTCCCTACAGTTTTCTAAAATTTTAAGTATTTTAGGTGACCTTCGTTTTCAACCAAATTTATATTGAATACACTTAAGACAGGGCAATATAATAATTTCCAGGAGAGCTCAGAAGTCACTTATGCTGTCGATATATAAACAAATAGAAACAGTGTTAGTATTGCCATGGCAACCACGACGTTTAATTTTTTGCACTTTTTGATTGTCTAATTTTACAATCAAACGGAAATATCTTTCTTTCTTCGGTCAATTTCTCTGATTTTTTGAGGATTTATGGTTGAAAGAGGAACGATATATTAAAATTTGAAGGATATTTACAAGGCGGGTTTTGAGATCTTCATGAATAACGACTACAGAAAATCCGTCCTGTAGCATTTCTTGAAATTTGGATATGTTTGACTGATCGTCATGTTTAGCAAATGTGCAAAGTTAAAAAAGAATTTCCTCGAAGGAAATGCGAGAAAAATAGTTCTAAATTCAGTAGAAGCTGTCGACGTGACAAAAATATCGAACGTCATGATCACTATTTGCGCATGCGTGTAAACTATAATGCGTGAGCAACACAAAATGCGTACGGTTTATAGTTGGCTTTTTTAGTAATTTCACTATGAGTTTTTGGCTTGTATGTATCACACATATATTTTTTTACTTACTCGAAATGAAAATAAGAGGCATATGTGAAAAATACAAAAAATTTGGAACACAATAAGGCATTCACTTAATCCAACGTTTCTTAAATTTAGTTTTGGTGTGAAAATCGGTGTGAAAACTTTTCAAAACATTCAAGTATAGAGCTTGACGTTTCGTACAAAACAACCTGAAAGTGTCTGCGCTATAGTTTTGTTGGATTCAGCAGATTAAAAACTACACATGAACTGAGTTGAATGACAGGACTTACGTAAGTTTCAGTGTCAGTTCAGGAGTGCCTTGAAGACAGTATACAATATCATTTCAGTCCGTGACACTGTTGTTGAACCTTGTGAGCATTATGAAATACAGTACTGAACATAATAATTACAAAAAACATACTGAAAGGTTGGTTTTAAAAACTAGTTAACAACATATGTACTGTTCGAATTTTGAAAAGTTTGGGATTATAATAAACACTGGCGTTTCCTTTGTAGATAAAAATACAAAAACAACTTCCCGCGGCTTGTTTCAAGATTTTAACCGGGCTATACGTAGATTGGACGCGCGAGTCGCGAGGATGGCGCTTGATGTATATAAATGTTTTAAACTGGACCATAACTGTAGGGAGCCACCATAAACGATACTATATCCCTATGTTCACGCCAAAATTCCTATCCAAGTTTCATTATGTTTATGGCAGGGCTTCGATGACTCAGTCGTTAGAGCGAGTCGTTAGACCTTTCACCTCTGAGTTCGTCATAGGTCTCCCGAAAAAGGTAACGTTGCATCATTATGTATATTATTTCGCCAAGGTTGGCAAAAAAACCTCTCGATCTATCACTGTATACAAAAATGAATGACAAACCAAAATTAGGATCAGCTTCAATCAGCTCCTTAAGTGAAGATTCAATCCCATTGACGTCAGGATCATCGTACCAGCCAACATACTGCAACAATCAATGTCAACATGATTACTTAATTAAGAAATAGAAAACGAGTCGCGTATGTTTATGGTGTGATATAAATGCACGCGGAGAATGTTGGGAGAATATACGACAGAAGCGTGTAAAACATGAGGCGTAGCCGAGTGCTATACATGCTTCTCGAGTGTTCTCCCAACATTCCCCGAGTTCCCAGCGTCTTTCTTAGAACGGCGCGAGGCGAAGTAAAGACCCTGGTTTCGGCTAGTCACTTGTGACCCAGATTCTGGGTGATAAATTAAAATTGTACTATGGGTAGGGTGGACGAGGAGCGTGTTTGTCGCGTTGTAAAAATCATTGCAACTTTGTGTGATGAAATTTAAATTTGCAACACGAAATCGTGAAGAGAACAGCAATTAAAAATTAAAATTTATCATGATGTGACTTTCTACTCTATATCTAGTGTCAAGTTACAATTCAAGAAAGTTGGATCAGATTTTAGCTTACAGACTTGCTAAAGAAAGCACGCCTGGGCGGCGTGGCAATACAGGGGCGGATCTAGGGGTGATCAGAGCGATCACGCGACTAAGGTAAAAAATGGGCAGAAAATTGTTAAATTAAAATAGCAGTCCAGTTATCAAACTTCGCGCAGTGTATTGTATTGAAAGTTTAACAGTCCAGTTCTAAGATATCATCCAGTAGCAAGGCCTTCGAACATGAACGCGCAGAAAAGCGGTCTTACGCATGAGTTTTGCACACTCTGAGTCAGATTCCAGCCATCTGATTGGCTATCAAGATTTTTGCGCGATCTGTGGGGAGTTCTGATCGCTAAAGCGATCAGGGGCTCGAATACAGGCTATCCTATTGGCTAATTCAAAAAAAATCCTCAATTCCCGTTGGCTGGATTTTTTTGATCGATCATACCGTTCAGGCTAATAGTATGCACGGAAAGGTCTATGACGTTGCTGGATCTTTCTGATCTAGCAGCAGTATTTATGTAAATTGACTGAAATATTATGTAAATTTCGTCTCTTATTATACGCGTACCCGCCGATTTTATAGCATGTGCGTTTTATGGCAATCGGAATATTTATCAGAAGTTCTAAACTAATACTAGCCATGTCTGTTGGTATTTACGAAACCGCAAAGGCTCCTTTAGAGAAAGATGATCGACAATATCTTAATCGAAGCGTTCTAAAGACTTATTGAGCGCTGTGAACAACACAAGCTTCTTCCTCGCACCGCGAAATTATGGTGCGGAATCTTACATCGCGAAGTACGTTCGAGAGAAAACGAAATAAGTTTTGTACGGCCTTAAGGTAAATATATTCTATTTTAACTTGATATAGCATCATAGCTGTTCTAGGCTATAGTGGTTGCGCGTCTGTACGTAATAAGAGATGAAATTTTATACATAATATTTCGGTCAATTTACATAATACTGCGGCTTAATACAAGCTGTTTCAGTTTGTTTATACTTTGTTTATGCCTCTTGTGGAATGTGGGCTTTATATATTGATCAGATACTTAAGAATACCGTATTATTTATGCCTAGTTGTCTAGTATATTAAAACTACAAGCACATGACAATGTGGCATGGCTTTGTGGCTTTGTGTAATACGATCTCTACAACATGTATACAATAAAAGTAAAATGCATCATGTTGCCATTGTGAATACTTATTCATGGCACATGTTTCTGCTATGAATAAAACTCGAGAAGCAGTGAATTAAACGTGGAAATTCTCTTCCTGCGAATTAACAATCAATCAAATGTTTTATAAAACTACATCGCTATATTTGAAAATCTTTTGACCATTCATGTAAATTAAGGACAAAATATGGAGTTATGTGTTTCCTAGGCATGCTGACGAGACCGGAATTGGGCGAAACAGTCATTTTCACGTAACATTTTTTCGTAAAACTGGATACAAATTAATTCGCTTTGCGACCCCCCCCCCCCGTTAAAAGAACCCCACCCCCCCTTCGATGTTCAGCAACGAAATTTTTGACTAACGTACGAAAAATCCTAGATCCGCCCCTGTGGCAATAAGCCTAGAATATATATACATATCTCTAGATCGGTTGTTAGTTTTAAAGTATATTCTGATACTCGGACTAAAATAATTTATTATTGATGATATGTGGAATTGCAACGAAATAGCGAGATCACTTGATTTCCGAAATATCGCCAAGAGGCAATATGGAAAGCCATAGCTGTGTAGTTAAGTGATCAAAAGACTATAAAATTTCCTGCATTGGCCCTTGGCATTGCCGAAACTCAACGATCATGGTATATGTCAAAGTCTAAAGATAACACTCATAGATAGCACTCAAATAAAGATAAACTTTATAAAGATTAGCAACCACGAAATTACGAACAAGAAAGAGCGATTTCACAAGTTTCTTGAAATACGACTGTTAATTCTTCGAGGACAAGATTAACGTATATTGATTGTCCCTCATTATTGGTATACCTTTACAACGAACATCTCCATCTCTACTGGACCAATACTGGTAAATCAATGAAATTGAATTTATGAACTATCGACGCTTCATAAAAAATAAACATTATAAAAGTTTACAGAAATGGTATCCATGCATTAAATAAAGAACTTGCTAAATTTGGTTTGTTCAGATGCAAGATTTGTTCCGTGATTATATAATCATAAGTCTCATAATTCATATTCAAACTGAATATTTAAATTTCAAATAGTCCTAGTGATTTGTTTCAGAATTTTGTTCTAAATATGCGATGTATGCTGTAGAAAAATCTGTAATTCTTTTATTGCATGATGATACTTCGATGCGTATCTGCAAGTATTGCTAACTGAACTGTCAGCTCTTTCTGTACTATTTCTCCTCAATAAAGTCTCACTCTAAACTGTATTTTACTGTTCTAACTTACTGGTAATATCCATAGGCGTACCGGGCGGGGGGGCGGGGGGGGCGGTAGCCCCCCCAGTTTTTTGGGCAGTCGGGCAATATTCGATCAACAGTCGGGCAATTTTGGTTTGCAATTAAAAAAAATGGGACAAATTCTGTCAATTTTTTTTTTGGGGGGGGGGGAGGTCGCCAAAATAATTTTTCCGGAAAAATTTTTTTGGTACTAGTCGGGCAGAATCCCGAAAAGTCGGGCAATTTTCTTTCCGCCCCCCTAATTTTTTCCTTCCGGTACGCCCATGGTAATGTCTACCTTTTACAGTATGTTACAGTCAAATTACAAGAACCTTCCCACTTCCACAATCTGTTGTAAATGTTTCTGTAAATCGTTCTGTTTTACACTTTTCCTGTAGCGGTTACCAAATTATGAACAAATATGGTGACAAAATTTTGTATGGCCCCAGCGAGTTAACGCTCTATAGAGCGTCTTGTTTATATTTTGAACTGCTATATTTTTTAAATATGAAGTACTATAACAGTGAAACACTTTTCTGGTTCGCTATATGCTTGTAAATGAATATAAACTCTACAATGCAAAATTTGGGCAATATTTATATCTGCGGATCCCCCTTTGTTATAAGCAGAACTGATGCACAGAACGGACTTTACAGCATTTTTAAACGGCAATAACTTTTAGACTAAAAATGCAATTTTGATTCTGTTTTCGAATTTCCTAATATTTTGTATTAATATTTCGTTTTCTGACAGAACACGCATTAATATTACTTACCAAGCCGGTTCAATGCGACAATTGCCACGTATGTCTATACGCCTCTGCAGGGGACCATATTGCACTAATAAATTCGGCACGTGTATAAAAATCTGCCCAATAGGTCTGAACTATAGCTCTGAGCCAGAAATCCTTATCTGTAATTCCATGGACATATGATAACTTACGACATATTCTAATCTATTATGTACCGGAGAATGTTTGAAGCCTTAATTTGTCCGAAAAGTAAAATTATCCAGCCTGCATGAGCGCTGTGAAATTTCATATTTGAAACAAAGAGTACTTGAAAGAGTGTATAGTACATAATACCTGCGTGACGACTGCATCAAAAAGTTTTGCAGCTCTCTGGCTCGTAGTAGATAACGGCAGCCCTTCGCTTCTCCAGGCCTGATATCACAACAATAAAGTAAATATTTACAAACATTAATTACAGCAAATGACAAATTTAAGACAAAGTTCAAACTATATATATATATGTGATAAATTTATTCCGAGGTTAAAGGGCATATGAAGCGTAAATTTTGTTTATGCAGTATTAAACTATTCTAGGACTATAAAACGCGCTCTTTTCAGTAAAACACTTAGTTTTTAAATTCAACTGCGTTAAAGCGTTGAAATTCCCCCTCAAAGTGCGTCTATATTGAAATGTTCGCGCCCAACATACCCAAGAGGCCTGGGTCCGAGTGATGACGTAGGAAGTTGTACCGCCATTTAGCGCGATAACGAAAACAAACGACATATA